TGCCGCTCGCACCGTGCGCCATTCATTCATTCCTTTCATGATAGGATCCAATTGCTTCAATTTGGTTTCATTGGATCTTGGGTCATCTACTGGATCTTCGTGAGCCACTCTGAGATTTTTCTAGTTGGTCATTGCTTGGATTCCATGGCACTTCGCTGCTCATATCGATTGAATGCATATCGCGAGTCAATCAATCTCTTCCGCTTGACTGTTGGTTGGCTGCGTCCGGCCATTATGGAAGCTCCAGCAGTTCCAATAGTCACTTGTGGTATCCGTGTAGCTGCTGCTTCTTCAGCAGGAGCGTCGTTGGATCATAGTGATGCTACTTCTGCTCGTAGTTCAGACAGTTGCGTTTGCGTAGTCTGTCTTGTTTGTCTTGTCGGCAATCATGACTTGTTTGGTATGCACTTTTTTTTTCATTTGACATACGTCCCTTCTATTGGTCGGTCATTATCCGTAGCTGACCCGGAGTGGAGTAGTGACTTGGGTGGTACCAGAGCTTGTCCCCATTGCTCAGGGTGATCTCTTCTTTGTCTTGGTACCTGGTCTTTTTCCTCCTCTGTTTTGGCTCCTGCTCCCGTCTTTGTTGTGTTGATTGTGCATAAGCCGACTTTTGTGGCAATTGCATATTGTTGTTCATATTGCTCATGCTGCTATTCATATTGCTCATCCAGTTGTTCATATTGGTGTTCATGCTGCTTCAGCTAGCCTCGCCCAAGTGTCGTCCCCTATCGGTTGCGTTGCTAATTCCTTGAGGGAACTTTTCTCTCACTGCAGTTCGGTAGACTCGTAATGCCGTTGTGGCTGTCATTACCATCATCTGTTTGCCAATTTCCGTATCAATCACTGCGTTGTTCAGTCGTAGGAATGAGGCGGTAACCTTGGTCTCTAGTTTCATTGCATATTGTCATTGCGTCTGAATGGACTTCTCTCACCTCTGAATGGACTTCTCTCCCCTCATATTTGTCGTATGCTGCGTATGATTTCGTGAGCAGCCATACGTTCAAATATGGACCAGTTCATTGTACCATATTCTTGTAGTCTTTTCGCTGATGGTGTGTTGTATTATCTTTGTGGGCTAGGGGTCCGTCACCTTTGTAGTAGGTGCGTAGTGCGATGAATGCTTCCCTTCCGTTGCCTTTGACGTCAATGGCTTGTGTTTACTTCGAGCGTCGCTTGGCTTTGGTATTCCCCACAATAAACTTTCTCAGGAGGACTAACACTTTGGTGTCGTCCATGGGAAATGTTTCTCCATTGAGTGAGCGGTGTAGGAAGGGAATATTTCATAAGCGATTCTCTCAGCTTCTTGCATTAACAATGTCATCCTTTTTCCATTGATCCATTTGTGTTGCAACACCTGTAGTTTTTGTCGGTGTTGCACTTGATGACCTTGTTGTCGTGTGCAGTGAAAAGAGGAGTAATGGTGGCCATGGTGCCTACATCAATATCACACTTCATACATATTGTTCGTTCGCATATTTCTTTCATTCTTAACAGTTTTCGTTGGTGATGTTCAGCACGATTCATGACAGTTTTCGTTGGTGTTGCTCAGCACCTTTCATAACAGTTTTTGTTGGTGATGTTCAGCACGATTCGTAACAGTTTTCGTTGGTGATGTTCAGCACTTCGTAACAGTTTTTGTTGGTGATGTTCAGCACGATTTGTAACAGTTTTCGTTGGTGTTGCTCAGCACTTTGTAACAGTTTTCATTGATGTTGTTCAGCACCATTCATTCATAACAGTTTTCGTTGGTGTTGCTGAGCACCATTCATCATAATGTTCACAACATTTGATGTTATTTCGCATTTACAATTATGTTCATCAATACGTTCATAACGTTTGATGGCATTACATGTCAAGACGTTTCAATACATTTCATTTTCCTTTCGTTTGTCGGATAACTTTTGACAGTTATTGCTGGATCTGATAAACCATATAAATGTAATCGTTACTGTATTACAATGTATTTGACTTACAAAGTAGTATGTATAAATGATGATAGTGTAAATATGTTGTATTCTTAAAAAGAGTGTTACCATCGTCAGATCGACGTGCTTCCCTGGAGGCCGATTTGTCCTTACTACTTACGGACTCTAGCAATCGTACACGTGCACGACAGCATGGTCGATCTCATATTCAATAGCACAGTCACCTTTATTTGGGAACAGAAGCATCTAAGTGTAAACATATATAAAAATGTTTTAAAAAAGTGCATGATTAAATCAAACACCAGTCTTTAAATTCGGGAGTTTCGTTGAACAGGATCCAAAAATGGAGGCAGGTCAAAGAATGAGGGATTTGTTATGTAGGGATTCAAAGAATGAAGGAGGTTGTTAAGTAGGCATCCAACACGAAGGAAGTTGTTAAGTAGGGATCCAAACATGACCGAGGCATGAGGAGGTTATTACACAGGGTCCAAAAATTTCTCGTGCAATACACTACAAGGAAGATTTCGATGCAAAACGAAACCAAAAATACACGCGTCTAAACAAAAACAAAAATATTTGTAAAATATTTACAACAGGAGAAATCACACTTAGAAAACGAAAACCATAAAAAATATAAATCATAGTATCGGACATTTCCAGCTACACATCAGATGTGAGAACATCACCCACTGTGGAAACAGCAGACAAACCAACACAACAAATAAGCGGCAGGACAGGGATATTCCGCATTTTGGTGTGAATCTGAACTGGAATCGGGGCCTGACCGGCTTGCTCACTCCTTCTGCACGGGGATCTGTGATCCGACATCATCACTGCTCGTGGAATTCATTCTTGGTCAGTGATCGTCGCGTTTTGGTCGTAGTTCGTTAAATTACAGACAGTTCCCCTAATTGACCATTGTTTTTGTCCTCTGAGTCAAAAATTCTGTGAATTTTTCACAGATGTTCCGAAATCTCTGTGAATGACCAACAGATGTTCCAAAATCTCTGTGAATTTTTCACAGGTTTTTTAAGGGTCTTCACAGATGTTCCGAAATTGCCGTGAAGTTTCAACAGAGGTTCAGCTGACATGCGTGCACGCATGCCCTTTCGTAAAAGCACCATACAATTTTGGTAGAGGAAAAAACGGTTAATGTTGTGCGCAAGCAATGCTTGGTCGTCTGGGTCAAAAATTCTGTGAATTTTTCACAGATGTTCCGAAATCTCTGTGAATTTTTCACAGATGTTCCGAAACTTCTGTGAATTTTTCACAGGTTTTTTAAGGGTCTTCACAGATGTTCCGAAATGTCGAAATTGTGGCGAATGGTGGGTTCAGCTAGGAATATAACATTTATGGCTTCATTATGTAAAACTAGTCGTAGACTTTTTTCCACGGTCGTCTGAGTCAAAAAGTCTGTAAATTTTCTATCGTCTGAGTCAAAAATTCTGTGAATTTTTCACAGATGTTCCGAAATCTCTGTGAATTTTTCACAGATGTTCCGAAACAAACTAACGGAACAATTTGATGCGTCATCGATTTGCACAACAATGACTGCGGAAAGAGATTGCTGTTAGAAAAACGTTATTGCTGTAGAAAAACCAGAGTCACACATTGTAGGCAAAGTCACACAGTGTAGGTACGTAAAAAGGTATGGATCTAGTTTATTCAAGAAAAAATTTCTCCCTGGACCATAGTTCTTTTGTTTGTACTCTTTCTCCGACCAGCTGATCACCTTTGCTTCCAGTGCCCAAAGAACTTTCACCCAGTGCCATAGGTTGTCGTGTTGGTCCCTTCGTGTGCTTATCCCAGTAGCTGAGGCAAGGAAGTGGATTGCAACTAGCAATCGCTTAAGCCCCTCCTTGCTCCTGTCAGATGGGCGGAGCCCCAAGTCTTTGTTCGTACAATTCAAAATGACTTGCCAGAGAATGCATAGAGTGCTGGGGCGTTGGCCAAAATGAGCCTTGAAAACTCCAATATTATGCTCCTTGAAGTCGTCATCCCTAAGTTAGCACCGTCTTCTGAGTTGAATTTCTATCGCCTGAGTCAAAAATTCTGTGAATTTTCTATCGTCTGAGTCAAAAATTCTGTGAATTTTTCACAGATGTTCCGAAATCTCTGTGAATTTTTCACAGATGTTCCGAAACTTCTGTGAAAAATTTACAGGTTTTTTGGGGGTCATTACAGATGTTCCGCAATTGCTGTAAAAATAAAACAAACTTTAAAATTTAATCTGGCGAATGAAGTTGAATACTTAACGGCATTGTGAACATTTATAAAATTCCTTGTCGTAGAAGTTTCTTTCTGGCAGGCAATAAGTGAAAGTCGATTTTTGAAGTTTCGTGCAGAAGAGGGTGAAAATGACCACATCGACTCTCCAAAAAAAAGAGAAAGCTGGCTTCACAGAAAACTGCAGGATATCCCAGTTTCAAGATGCTTTTCCACCTGCTGAATGTAATACTGTCTCGCAAACTCAAGTTTTTCGGCCTTAACTTCATGATCGTAGTCATACTCATCAACACGAGGATATTTGGACGGACGACATGGGGTGCACTCTTCATCAGAGTCTTCCGCTTCGTTTCCCTGTTTTGATTTTTTGTCTTCTTCGTCTTGCTTTTCTTCGCAATTTGAACCGTAGCGAAGCCGACTGCAATAATGGAACTTGGAAATCGATCGCCCTATGTTCTCATCCATATAATCGTATACCGCATGGCTGTGTTCTAGCATCCATAGTTCCCAAGCTGTGATGCGCCTTTGACTTGGATAACCGCATGTCTTTTCGTATTTGGTCTTCAACTCCGGTTTGTTCCCATCAGAACGCCCACCAATGTACTCAACGATGCTCCGAAGAAAATAGTCCTTCCGCTCAAGACTCTCTTTTGCTAGCATACGTTGTAGAAGTGCTCCAATCACAGCTGGTATTTCCGTTTTCTCTCTCTTAACTTCCTCTGACACGACCTTGAAGACAACTTCGAGGCCTCTCGCTTGTGATCTTGTGTCACCAAGAGAGAGCAATTCCTTTTTGGAAAATTTCAAATAGGCATGGAGCTTCTCTTTTGTACTACTATATTTCATCCCTTCGATCTTGTTAAACACAATAGTCCACGCAAGCGTCAGGTGCTGTGCATATAGCTCCGCGAAGCAATATGGAAATCCGACATGGTCGCCGAACACAAAACGTCTAGCAGTTGACAGAAAGATTTCCAACAACTGGTCTTCCTCGCAACCGACGATGCAGATCTGGCAAAAACACTTTGCTATTTCCTTGAACTTTGCAGCATGGGCATTTCGTGTAGGATGACCCACCCAGTCACTGAGACATTGGAACCCGCTTAGCAACCTTGCCATGACTTTAGCGGTAACAACGCAGTCTTGTGCATATTTTCGACACAGCCAAATGACAGTGTCGTTCATAAAACCACTGCTGATCAGGCGATCTCTGACTCTGCTGTCACGCTCTGCCCAAACAGCTAAGAACTCAAGTAAGTCGCGTATGAACCCCCTTCCGGCGATTTCGTCGTCAAGCACATGGGTTATTTTCCCCCTCTTATGTGCCTGTCCACTTCAACCATTTGCACAAGGCAGTGGTCCAACAGCTCAAGCAACGTACTGTGATTTGTCTCAAGCCAGGCCAACAGGTCTTCTGGTTGTGGTGAGTCACGCAATGCCACTTTCATCACAGCCATGTAACCACATGCTTTCTGTGGGTCAGATTCGAAAGTCGGTAACCATTCACGGTCTACTTCAAATCCAGAAAACTGGATCAGCATCTTCAGTTCAGATTTTTATCAGTTTTTATTCAAGTTTGATAATTTTTATGAGATCAATCAATTTGTGTGCTATTTTCTATTTCTGGTCGCGGTGCCAGCACCTGAACAACAAGAATAGATCGCGGCAGAATTTTCTCTAGCCATACGGGCTACATATATATCAAGCAAACAAATCAAGCAAACGTACAAGTACGGTACCAAACAAACGTTCCAAGCAAATGTATGTGCATAGCTATTATAATTTTTTTTTATAGAAACTACTAGTTCAATAAATACTATGAATCAGATACCGATAACCTGTTGTTGGTCCATTGAATAAGTTCTTTAATCCTTCTTTGGAATTATATGTTGCCAAGATCGTCCATCGCTCGTCCAGCAAGTATTGTTCTTTTGACCTCCGCCACTATTACCTTGTTTATGCCTTCTTCTGAGCCGTTACCTGATTGCATCACAGAGTTAGTATGCTTGTCTCTTTCGTTGCTTCCATGATCAACGCCCATGTCTTTGTCCAAATCTCTGGTGCTTCCATCATCAGTAATTGCATCTTCGCCTTGTTCTCTATTGTCAATACTGCGATCGGCACTGTCAGCCGCCATATCTGCTTGTTCCTGTTGTTGTCTTACCTCCTTCGCCTTTCTTTTCCTGTCCCCCCGCTTCTTGTTGTGCGTCATTTTAGCTCGTGCTCCATCCATAATTTGCTTCAACCGATACACGCAAATAATTGTCTTCTCTTCAATATCCTCAACCTCCACGTCCAGACCACATCTCCAACAGCCTTTGTCTGTCTCTCGACCACTCATTACCTTATTCACCGCTCTCGTCACCGCCTCCTTCTCCCCAATACCTCTTAGAAACGACTCAAACGCTTCTGTTGTCTCAATGATCAACTGATTGAACTTATGATTATATGTCAATGTCTCATACAGCTTGATTCGCTGCCAGAAGTATCGAGCCGGGAGCGGTTCAAATGCAGTTAGCATGAATACATACAGTAGCCTTCTTGAAGTTGCATACTTGTAAACGTCGTCACCTTTTGGTGACGCAACATTCATTGCACTATGCCTAACTTCTTTGTAACCCCAGTTATTGTCTTCTGCTTTGTCAATAATCACACAAAAATATCGCAGCCAAACATATGCAAGATCGCCTGCAACGCTCATGAGAGCGCTCAATTTAAAGTCCGTTATCTTCAAAGGCGTC